TTACTGTAGGCAAGCTAGCATTTAACTCATTGTATTAACATATGAGAGATGTTGTTTCTTTCACGATGTATACCTTGTTATATACAAATAAAGAAATGATGTTTACCTACTTTAAAAAAAAAAAAATAATAAGTACAATATAATAAAAACTAATAAATAGCTGGTTTGACTAGAAAAAAAAGTTATGATTATTTTAATTTTTATTACTTATATAATAACAATATTAATGAAGCCTCAATGCATTAGCTTTAATATATATATTAGAATAGATTTATTGCAACAAGCTAATATAAAAGCAATTTAATATAGTACAACATATATTTAGAATAGTTTATAAATAGTAATTTTCATAAAAAAATACAAATATAAATTAAATTAAATATGTTAAGTAAGGCCTGGCTATTTGAAAAAAATTGGTTGGTTTTTTCAATTTGTAATATCAACTTGTTTATTAACAAAATAATACATTTTTGAAATCAAACTGTGGTTTTTTTATTTATAATATTTTAATAATTTTAAAGTTACCAATTTTAAATTTTTTAATATATTATGTCAATTAATTTTAAATTAATGTTTTTTTGTTTCTAATTCTTATCCATATAATTTTTTGTTGTAAAAATAATGTATAACTTTTAATAAAAATGTTTTTATCTTAATTCAAGACCTTATTTAAAATTTATTTATTTTAAAAAATAAATGTTTTTAAAAATATCATAAAATATTATTTATCACAAATACTTGTCCAAAAAATGTAAAAATCAAATCATTTGAAACTATTTTAAAACTCAAACATTCTATAATAGAAAAAACAATTGAATTTTCAAACAAGTTTTTAGATAATTACATATTTGGCAAAAATGATATAGGAAATCGGGAATTTTAAGACAAAAAGATTGGCTATTAGCTTGTATTAATAAAAATATTAGGTTTCGAATTTAATTTAGCATATTCTTAAGTATTCAAATTTTGATTTGATATATTCTTCGGTTAACATTTAGATACAGTAATAATTTTTTAATAATAGATGAATGCAAAACTTTAAAAGGTTATCAATACTATACGTAACTATACGTATCTTGGTAACATATAATATCATTATTTTTACGGAAATGCATTAAATTTTTATACAAAAAATAATATTTTCGATTGCTATGTTTCTATGCCAGTAATTACTTTCTGATTTCAATTGTCAATATCATGAATTGGAGCAAATGGGTGATTTGAATCATATAGACTCGTCAAGAGAAACAGTATGAATATTCTTAACTTTATTTTTATAAATAGATAGATTGGCTGTAGCAGATATACAGTATATGATCTTTCAGAAAATGGTTCAAATAGTTCATATCATAAAGACATTTCTGCTTACCATTCCAGACCTTTTCGGAATTACAATTTGGAGTTGTAAGGATAAAAAAGAAAAACCACTTTCGATGTAGATCTTCACATTTTTCTTAGTATTCCTTGTTACTGGGTGCTTTTTTTCGCAATAAGAATTGGTGGATGTCCTTCGGATTCTGAGTACCCGTTGCTCTAATGAAAGAAAGATTCTCCATATGGTGAGGCTGGAGCACTAGTGATATGATATTTGAATTGTCAAATTCAGTGATAGATTTATAACAATCAACATTCCAGAAATTTTAAACTTCGGTGTTTTGTGACTTTAGGTTGTAGAATGCGGCTTTCAAACTGGATGTCGCCATTCAAACATACTCCTACAAAAACTTCTGAGATCATTGTTAATTCATAATCTTCAACCAAAACTGATTTTATAAACGAACTGATACGATAAATTCTCAAAGCTCTACCATAGCTTGGCTTGTAACAATGTCACTGGATTCAAGAGTGTTCTTTGTTTCCCATAATCAACAAATTCACAATCTCGAAGTAATGGATATCTAAAGATGTACTGTACGTATATGCAGTAGGGACCTCCTTCGATTATACTACTTAATTATTCGAATCGAATAGTGTCAATCCAATATTGCTCATGCAACGGGCCCGAGGTCTTTCACAGAATCAAAAATAGAATCGCGATATTTTCAGTAAGATCACGCAAATCATGCTCGACGTTGTACTCGTCAATGTTACGATCGCCCAGGCAATCATGCCCTCCGCAGTCTTCCACAAGAATATTTATCCCTTCTAAATACAGGAAGCAATATCTTGCTAATGTTCGGAGTTACGGAGAAGCGACCAACGAATTTGGTTTGAGTAATAGCATACAAACATCAATGCCAAGAAAAAGGTTATTACTTTACATAAAACTTTTTTTTGGAATGAGATTACTAAATTAGGTATTAATAAAAGACGTTTTATAATACTGTATTGATTTATAGATAAAGTATTTACGTCACATACATACATACAATATGTATTACTGTGTACAACGCATATTTTATATTTTCGACAGTAAACTATGCATTCAAAAAGTTCCCAAAAACTTTCTAAAAATTCTTTTGTTGTGTGGCGAAAATATTTTATTATTGTATGTGCCCATAACGAGCGACACGTAACGTTAAACCAAGCTGTACCAACCGATATATATGTCGTTCCAAGATTAATACAGTATGTCGACGTCCTAGGTGTAACTCGTATTAGAAAAAAATATTGTTTTATCGCATTCGTGCCACAATGATCAAAGAAATACTATGATAGTGTAACTTAAATCACTTCACGTAATGACTCAAAACTATTCTCCTTATAAGTATTGTATAGTTAGTGGTAAATTGAAAATACCCTATTGACACTGTTTTTTTTTTCTTTCAAAAACGTATCTCTTATCCTCACATATATTATCCAAAATATTCATTTATGCTTTGAAAAAAGTAAAGCACTTGACGAAATCTCTGCGAATTTTAATATATTTAATATAATTTCCGAGGTAAAAATCGAACATCAATTAAATGCCAGATATCATTCAATTTAAAAATATTTCTCATCTTTAATATCGAAATTTTTAGAATTGAAATATTTCTCTTATCAAAATAAGAAATTCTTTGTGGCGAAGCCTTTTAATATAACAACAAAAACAATAAACAATATGACTGAAGTTGAAGAAGCTCCCCAAGAACGTCATGATGATCTCACTCAAGAATATCAAGAATTTCAGAATAGGTATCGAAATCCTAAGAGGACAGGATTATGTGGGAATTTGTGTTTCATGTGTGTTTCTATAATATTGGTAATTGTTCTTCTTGGAGGCTCGGGTGTACTATTGTATTTTATACTACATAAATTCACTCATGTAGTTTAGATGTCGAAAATGTAAATGTTAGATTCTGCGGGTTATTTATGCTCATGAAGATCTCAGCTCATGTTAACACTGTACAGTATATCATAATTTCATCCTTTTAAATAAGGAAAATTCACTCGTTGTCACTATTAATAATTATTGAAAGCAAATTATAAAATGCGATTTTATTTTAACGTTAAAAATAAATTGGTTTTCTCCTTATTAATAGATTTTAAAGAAACACTCTCATGCTGAATTACAACGAATGCTTTGTCATTTCAAAACTATTCAATTTGAAAGCACATGGTAGAAGTGAATAAAAGATCATTTGAGCTACCAGTGTGCTAGAAAAGTTTTTTACAAGTTTAAAAACTTTTTTTTTATCGATATACATATACGACTTAAAAATTAACCAACAAATTAAGATAAACAAATATTTATATACATCTTTAAAATACAAAGAATAAATTTAGCAATGTTTTAAATAAAAAAAAAATAAAACTAACAATGCTTTTAAAAATATATAAAATATTTTTTAAATGTTTTGTCATTAAAAAAATTTTTTTATAAATAAATTATATAAAATTTTTTTTAATTTTTGATTTCATCAAACAAGTCTATAATTGAAATATATAGTAGTGATTTTTAAAAATTTTTTATTTAATCAATTGGTTTTATAGTCGAGCTAGCATTTAATTCATTGTACTTGTATATAAGAAATGTTTTTTCATGATATACAGTATATCTAGTATTCTAAAAATCAAATAAAAAATAATATTTATTTCAAAAATTTATTTTTTTTATTTTATTAATTATTAATTAATTTTCAAATTTATTGTATTTGAATTTCTAGTTATAAAATTTTATGTTCTATTTTAAATATTAAAAAAAAAAATTTTTTATAATTATTAAATTTGAATTTATATAATTATTTGAATTTTAATTAAATTTTATTTATAAATAATTTTTTAATATTTAAAAAACATTTTTAAATATTATTGTATTATCAATTTTATACATTATTTTAAAATACTTTATATTTATTTTTGCACAATAATTTTAAATAATTAAATTAAATTAAAAAAATTTTTACAATACATTGTATATTAAATTAATTTTAAAATAATAATTTTTTTACATAAATTTTTTTAAAAAAATTTAATGTATATTTATCTTTAATTGAAAATTTATAAAAAAATTGAAATAATTTAAATTCACAAATATAATAAGTTTGATGTTTATTTAATGATAAAATATAAAATAATATTTTTTAAAAAAATTAATTAAATACTGTTTTATATATAATAATAATTTGCTTTAAATCAAATTTATAATTTAAATCACAATTGCACATTGTTAAAAAATAAAATTATATTTTTATTAAACTATTGATATATATAACATATATTTATAATATTAAAAACAAATAATTCTTTTATTTTTGTATTACCAATTCATTAAATTGTTTATAATAGTATATAATTTTTATTATAATTTTTTACAATTAATTTTTATTGTTTAAATTGAATTTTTTAAAATTGGATTTATGCACCTTGAAATTATTATTTTTTTTAAAAAAAAAATTTCTATACCATTAAATTAAAATTTAATGAATAATTATTTAACCGTAATAAACTTAATTAATAAATAACAATTAGTATAAGTTATAATTCTTTAAAAAAAATGTTTTATATATATTGCAGATATTAATTAAAAATTTTTTTAATTAAATTTGAATTTTCCAAAATAGCAATTCTTTTTATTGATAATTAATTATTTGATAATTTTAATATACGCATATAATTTCGTATTTCTAAAAAAAATTTCAAAACACGTGTTTACATATTATTTATATTTTTCTTGAAAAAATTTCTTTTTTAAAAATAAGCGACGCGTCATTTATAAAACGCGTTCTAATTGATGTACAAATGCACGATGTCTCTTACTATTTTCGTCGAGATTAACGTGATGGATATCTTTAATCTATAAGTTTCGTCACCGTCAACCAACAAAAACGGTAGCTGTCACATGTTTAAAGATTTATTAAAAAGCAAAAAAAAATTTTTTTTTTTTTTTGCGAGTTCGTGTAGTTTTCTACCGCTAGAAATAATAATAATAATAAATTTTTTTAAAAAAAAAGCGTCCTTTCTCTATTATAAAGGCTTTATCCATTTTCTCTCAACTTGTATTGAAAATAGAGATGGATATATTCACACAACACGTAAATGATGGCAGTATAATCCTTTTGCAATCGGTACCAAAGGGAACTTTCTCTACATCATATATTGTACACGTCGGAGGTACTCCTTTTCAGTTTTCCGAGTTCAGGTAGGCCTTTTCTCTATTCTTCATACTTTAATGGATCTAATCATTTTTTAACTCGTCAATTTTTACTAGCCTCAAACGTGATTCGCCAAACTTGTTTACAGAAACATTTTTCGGTGAAAACGATCAGAAAAAAGGAACAATCCATTCAATGTGTGTAGATCGTGATCCACAAATATTTGCTGTTATTGCACGATATCTCCGAGGTTATTCAATACTTCCATTATCGCCAGCAAATCTGCCACTTGGTATGTCCTATGATACATTTCGTCGAAACCTATCGGCCGATATTCATTTCTACAAGCTACCAAATTTGATAAGACACACTCTGCCCGTTCATAAGATATACAAAAGTCCATTCACTGAAGACTGGCTGATGGAAGTCTGTCTAAGTGCTGTGAAAGCCAAAGATTTGCATTTGGATAAAGAGATAATACGATTCTCCGGTAGAGACGCACAACCCATTGTTCAATTCCACGTGAATGATGTTGTTTGGGATATTTTTTCGTCTCAACAGTCGCACTTTCAGTTTCTTCAACCATCGGACGCGTTCATTATTCAATCAATTCTAAAAGCTTTTCGCCCACAGTACAATCAAGGCTATATATTTTATGCTTGTGAGGATGGACCTTCTTTATTTAATATTGATGGCGTGGAGATGTTAGGCAAGGAGGTGTATCAAAGTGTTCTTGACAAGAGCCAGGAATTGATCAAACCATTGATGGGAAAATGCGTAAGGTTATATTTGAACAAATTGATATTTATGATGCGGATTCCCGATTATTCCGAGTCTAGTGCTATCACAATTTTACCATTATTTGGTAAAGGACATACTCAACTTTTTCGATTGGCATCTAGTGGCGGTTTAAATTTTTAAAACACAACTAGCAAGAAATCAAGACTTAATTGTGATGTTATTGATGGTGGATTTTACTATTTTTTTTTCCTTGACACTACTTTTTATAAAAGATGGGTGTTTTTTTTACCGTAAAACATTCTTCGGGTGCCTTTTCACTTGACATTATGAAGGACTGTAGTAGAAATTAGAGTAAATTGGGCAACTACAGTATACTTTTAAAAATATTAATTGTCATTTTCGAATTAGCAATTTTAAATAGATTACATACTTTATGATTGCGTGTATATACTGCATATAATTTATGTTTACTATCCATGCAATATGATTATTATTAGATCTGGCACATTTTCAATTGAATGTAGTATTTATTGTTTGAAATTTAACAATTCTTGATATGGTCTTGTATAACAATGCCCACATTTTCAATGTCTGATTTTTTTTAATGTTCCTGTTTTCATCCATATTCTTTGAAGATTGAAGTTGGATTTTATCCTTTTCTTTGAACTTATGATAAAAAAACCCCGAGATTATTTTTGTTAAGTTCTGAAATTATACAATTAGTATCAATATATATTTTTTCTTTGTATATAGCTTATGTACTTTATTCAAACGTTGATTATGTCTGGTCAAAGTTTGGGTTGAGCGTTTGATTAAATGTTCATTTTTAGTTTATATTAAATAATCTGTATATATTTTTTTATTAGGGTTGATAAGATGTATACCCAGGCTATATTCCATAATTAATAAGTTGCTTATTTTATTGAATTTATTACATTTTATTTAATTATATAATTTCAATTAATCTATTATAATAAATTATTACTATTACGATATTTTATTTTTATATATAATTTTTTTGATATTTATTTCTTTTTATCGTATCTATTTTTAATAACCTTTAATCTTTTGATTGAACTTCAATTAAGTCACATTATAATAACATCCCATAGGTAAAAAAAAAAAACAAATTTAAATAAATGCAATTATATTATAATTAATTTTAAATTTTGTTTATATTTATGGCAAAAAATAATTTTGATAGCATATTATCCGATAATTGAAAAAAATCAATATCTATTAATGTACATTTTGTTTGAAATATAAAAATTTTTTTAGAAAAATTTATACAATTTTTTATTAATATATTAATATTTGTCATCTTTAAATATTTTAACCAATTACAAAATACATTTATGTATTATCAATGTCCTTAAGTTGGTTTAAACTTTAGAATAACTTAAATAATTCAAGTGAATGTGAATGCTAATTGATTCATTATTTTAAAATGCCAAGAAATATTTGAACTTAATTGTTTATTTACATAAAATTTTTTATAAATTTTATAAATTTTAAATGATGTTAAAATATACAAATAAAAAATCATTGAATTTTTTATCTAGATTTAATTTTAAAAAATTAAAAACGAGTTTATTTTTTATTATCTACAATTTTATTAATTTACAAATATTAAAAAAAATTTTTTTAATTAAATATAATTACTTTTTATATAATTAATAAAAAATAACTTATAAACTAAGATATATAATAAATATTTAATGTAAATTTCATTTTTGAATTTTTATTTGAATTATAAAATTCTATTTTTTAAAAATTGTTAAAATGAAACATTTTTATTAAATTTATTAAGCACAATTTAAAAGATTATTAAACTTAAATCCCAAAATTACTAATGAAATTTTAGCAAAAAAATATAATGTTAATACAAGTTAAAAAATTCTAAAATATTAACTATTGACTTAATATTGATTTTAATAGCATTGAAACCAAAATCAAAAAAAAATAAAAAACCAAAGTATCCTTTAATTGAAAAATATTAATAACTTGAATTAATAATGTACTTGAAAGTAAATTTAATTATTACAGGTTTTATTTTAACTTACCAAGCTCAAGAATTTGCTATAATTAAAATTAAAGATTTTAAAATATCAAATAATTTTTATTCTAGAAAAAAATATTTTGAAAAAACAAAAAATTTTACAAAACTTATTAAGATTAGCTATTGAAATATATTGTATATATAATGAAACATTATATTGGAAAATGGAACCAATTAAATCTGGCAAATAATTATTGAAAAAAAAAGAAAAAACAATATTTATGTATTTATTGCAGATACTTTTTGGAAAAATTATAAATATTTATATTCAAATAAGTTAAGAAAACTTAAAATTAGAACAGTAAAAACAAATAGTTTTTGAAGTTCAAAAAACTATAAAAATGAAAAATATATCAAAACCCATATCAAGACAAATAGATACTTATTGTTTAATGACTGAAATTTCAGATTTATAAAATATATTTGCTAAAATATTTTCAAGGTTTTTATGGAAGAGTTGGAATTAGAAAGGCACTTGTAAGTGAAACTAATAGAAAAAAAAGATTATTATGGGC